TGTTTCTTTGTTAGAAGGAGATTATATTTGTATGTTTATGGTTTATGTTTGTATGCTAGAGGGTTTATGTTTGTATGCTAGAATGTCTATGTTTGTATGTTAGAAGGTTTATGTTTGTTTGCTAGAAGATTATGTTTTTATGTTATCTGGTTTATGTTTGTATGTTAGAGGGTTTGTGTTTGTATGCTAGAAGGTTTATGTTTTTTATGTTATCTGGTTTATGTTTGTATGTTAGAAGGTTTATGTTTGTATGTTAGAATGTTTATGTTTGTATGTCAGAAGGTGTATGTTTGTATCTTAGAATGTTTATTTTTGTATGTAAGAATGTTTATGTCTGTTTTGAATGTTTATGCTTGTATGTTAGAATGTTTATGTTTGTATGCTGGAAGGTTTATGTTGATATGTTAGAATATTTTTGTTTGTGTGCCAGAAGGTTTATGTTTGTACGTTAGCATATTTATGTATGTATTTTAGAAGGATTATGTTTGTATGTTAGAATGTTTATGTTTGTATGTTAGAATGTTTATGTTTGTATGTTAGAATGTATGTAAATGTTTAGTATTCCGAACCTATCCCTTCTCCTAGTTTAGTTTCCATTATCATATTTTTATTGTTCCCAGACAACCTCCCAGTACAGGGGGACCCACAAAGGATGAGATTTCCTTAATTTCTCTCTGTACCAAATCAATTAGTTTTTTATTTATAAATTAATATTGAAGGCAGAAACATCATTCATTTAAAGAGTTACAGACAGGTCGTCATTATGGATAAACCACCCTGTAGCGAGAGAATAGGTTCACTATTCACTAACCATTAGAAAATTAAAAATGTTTTAAATCCTGAGGGATGATTGTGGTTTAGGAGAGAGAAAGTTAGGTTTCATGAATAATTCATTAAACTAGAAATTACTAGTTTCATAATTTTTTATTAGATCCATAAAAAAGGAAAAATTTAAAAACTTATTAACTTTTTCAAAAAAATATCAATATTAGAAGTATTTAGAATTGTTTCCAACATCTGTCTTTTATATGAATTTAAATCTTTACAATGTTACCCATAAACTTTGTGAATAAAATGGTGACTGTCAGACCTAAGTTCTGATTTTATATAGTTCAATGAACATGAAACAAATAAATTGTGCAGTTTAATATTTGTGTTATAACAACATAGAGTACATATACGATTGCTTAATTCTCGTCTTACTATTCCACGATTTTATATGTCTCCCTGTACTACAGCCATTGTTGTAAATATCAGTACAATGAAGACGACTTTTTTATTTAGATTTTTTTTATTCCTACCAAGCTTTTTAATAGCATGGATACACATAAACATGAAAAAAGCTGACAATTTACAGCTTCTCTTTGATAACTTTTAATTTAAAAAAGGCTTTTAAGAAAATTCGCCTTCATTTTATTGATAGAACGCCGACTACTGTAGGATAAATTATAATTTAATTTATTAGAAGTAAAAGAAAACTAGGTCCTAAAATTAATTTCCTTGAAGATTACTAAATCTTAAATTTTGTGCCAAGGAATTAAACGAAGTCTGGTTCTCAACCATAAATTCTTCATTTGGAGAGAAGGATTAATTCTGGAAGTGATTCTAGATTCAATTGCCAGAATTCAGGGGGGTCTATGCATTTATAGAATTTAAGTCAAAACAATATATATATATATATTCTTTTATGTTATCTAAAAAATTATAGTTTTTATTGTGGTTTCTCTATAAATGTATCTATTCTCTATAATTGCGAAAGATTAAAAGTTACAAGAAAAGACTCATAAAACTGTAAGAAAAGGAAGACGACCGAAGTTATGATTTTAAATAATACGGTCAATATTAAATATAGAAAAATTAAACCATGTACACAGACCGATTTCGCTCAATAAATTAGTTTTTAAGCAACTGAAAAACTTTTAGCTGTATTACAATATCAAATATACAAATAACCTACAGGGGCGTTTAAATCAATAAAATGAAGACGACTTTTCTATTTTTATTTTAAATGACAAGTTTACTATTAAACAAAGAGAATCTGTTAATTCACAGATTTTATTTTGTTTATGTGCATCCATGATGTCTAAAAATTGGTAGAAATAAGAAAATTAAAATCGAAAATCGTCTTAATTGTATTGATATATACGACGACGACTGTAGATTTAATGTCGTTTTCCTATTCCACATTTGTATGGGTCTCACTGTACGTTATTATCATCTTCTAACACTGTTATATAATTAATTCAAGTCATGAATCTGAGTTATCTGTTGAGTATATAATAGTATATATTGAAGTTGTAATTAAATTACCTGTATTTGAGATTGAATATTCTCTAAGTTTGAGAATCTGTAAAGTGATCTAATCTAATCTTGGAGTGCTTAATACAGAGCTATGTTTTAATAGGGGGNCGTTTTTCTATTAATTAACATTAAAGGGAGTGTAAAAGTAATTTAAAATGACACTCAATATATAAATTGGAATGCCCGAATCCAAACTATAGCCTTGAAAATTATCTGATCAATAAAGTAGAAGATAATGTTGTTTTTATTATTTGAAATGTGTTCAATTCTGATAAATTTCGACATTGTTTTCCTGCAAAAGAAATGCACGAGTTTCTTTTGTAAAGAATATCTATTATCTATTTCTTACATCAGAGAAAACCTTTAAGGGTACCTTTATTAACTTCACTCATTTATTTTAATTACATTTTACATTTTTTTTAAATTTCTATATCAAATCAGATAGAAATATTTTGAGACTTGTATATTTTCTTGTTTTTCATTCTTTCTTCTTGATCGTCCATTCCTCGTCCATCCTTCAATTATACTTCGGCTAATTTTGAAAATAAAAAGAAATTTTTTGGATGTCCCTGCAGTTAGAGAAAGAACTAAAGGTACCTTCGTCAATCAGTCATGCAACTGTAATAATGGAAAAGTCCCTTTAAAGAAAAAAATTAAAAATTAAAACACGACTGTACAAAAAAAGGTTGTATTTTTATGGTCTAATATTGTAAAATGTAGCGAAATAACGAGCTTAAAATAAAGTGTATATACATCTGCAGATTGAGAATCCACTCTATTTCGGCGAACACTGAATTGTTTAAAAATAAAATTGAATGAATTCCTTTATTTTGTCAAAATAAAACAACATTATATATATAATACAATTTTGAAAATTCAGTCCAACATTTTTCACATTAACACATGATAAATTGACAAACAACGACTGGCGAAAAAAGACGACATTTCTTATGAAAACTGGAAGATTTTTACGATCAGATGAAAAATGTTGCCATTCACAATGGTTTTGAAGGATTTTTGGAATTTTTCGTTGTGCAAATTTTTTTAAAGTGATATTTCACAAACATTAAACATTTTATCCATTAACCCTACAGAATCTGAGTGCTTAGAGAGGCAGTCCAGTTTTTTCATAAATCATATTTTTTCCAAATTTGTTCTAAATTCCGGCAGGGATGCTTGGCCACCCGTCAATTTTTGTTCATATCGCTCTTATTCATTAAAATCGCCCTTTTTAAAAAAAAATTAAACCTCGAAACCTCTTCGTGTTGCGCTTGCTCAGTCATTTTAGTGTTAAAACTAAATTTATGATTCCCTATTCATTTACATAGATTTCTAGTACATTTAAGCAATAACGTAAAACATATTTCTAAAATGGTTTGGATACCTTTTCTAAATAATTCGAATTGAAAGATATGGTTTTAAAAATATGGTTCGTAAACACATTAGGAACAAGCGTATTCATATCACACAGTTATACATTACACATCAGACATTTTACATATATTAAAGATAAAGAAACAGTTCGAGGTGTAAAAACTGATTTTTTTAAATTCAAATTAAAAAATTCCTTTAGTCAAAGTTTGGCAAAGACATTTGAAAAAATTTGGTGATCCATGATGTAGATATTTATATCATTTCTTTGATCAAACGTGCAACTTTATACCCCAAGTGATGGCACGGTAGAAATATGACTATAGAGAAATAGGGTTTTCCTTTTCTGAAAGGGGTAACATAAATAATATAAAAAATTTATAAGGTAACAAAACCACCGTATAACAGATTAATAATTAATACTAATATTCATAATTTACAAGTTTGGGTTCAATCTAAGCAAAAATATTGGCAATTAGTTTGGCAAACCTATGCAAAAATATTGGCAATTAGTTTGGCAAACCTATGCAAAAATATTGGCAATTAGTTTGGCAAACCTATGCAAAAATATTGGCAATTAGTTTGGCAAACATATGCAGAAATATTGGCAATTAGTTTAAATATTGGCAATTAGTTTGGCAAACCTATGCAAAAATATTGGCAATTAGTTTGGCAAACCTATGCAAAAATATACACAAAAGGAACTATTTTAACTTAATTACATTGCACTCGGACAAATAAAAGGGTACTTAGGGTAAAAACTACAATTTGGACACAAACACAAGTTTTGACGAATATTATTTTTCAAAATTATTTTTTAAATCCATCTAATTATTTTATATGATTATTGTATTGTAATTTAATCTGTAAACTTATTCTCCAATAATGTCGGTGCGTCAAAAAAAAATTATTTAATTCTTCTTAAAATTTTGGTTTCTGATTTGTGTTTTTTATTTTATTTCTTATTTTTAGAGGTAAATATTCAAAACAAAATCGGGCTATATAGCCATGTGATGACCAATAAAAAAATAGGTATGACCAGTTTAACCTTTTTAACATTTATTAGATTAAAACCAACCAACTCAAAAAAATACCAAGAAAATATACGTCTACCTTAATTTTAAAATGGCATAACTTTCATAAAAATAGATGAATTATGAAACTCTTAAAAGAAACAAAAAACCGAAAATAATAAACAAACAGACAATTTTTTTTGTTTTGTCTTTGTCTTTTTAACTTTCACTTTTGCGCACTTGTCTTAAAATCAGTTGCTGATAAAAAAGATAAAAATATGAATATAAAGATCAAAAAGAAAAAAAAATTGTTTCTGATTTTTTTTAATGATAACATTTATATAAATCATAAAGTTTTGTTTATTTTCATTTTACTTTTGTGCCAGGGATTCTTTGCTTAAACTCTTGTATTAAATGAATAAATAAAAACAGGGAGGAGTAAAATAATATTTTCACTGTAAATTTATAAAAACTGATGCCACCATTCTGCACAGATATGTAGGATTTTGGAATATTAAGAAAAAGGTTTAGGCTAAGGATGTTTTAATGACTCGTCCGATCAGATTTCTCTGAAATAAGATAACGTTTGTTCAAATTAAATATCCGTTTATTTAAATAAAAATCTGTTGTTGTAAAACTTACAATCTCTTCCCCCAAGCTCCCTTAGGACCATTTTCTTCCACAGTGTTGGAAAGGGAAGGGAAGTACACTTCAGAACTTATATCCGGAGCTATTTTCACCCTAAACAAGATTTAGATAAAATATCCGGAGCTATTTTCACCCTAAATAAGACTTAGCTAAAATATCCTGAGCTATGTCGTCCTAAACAAGAATTAGCTAAAATATCCGCAGCTATTTCATCCATAAAGATTAACTATAATCAATCAAATAAAACACCGCACACTTTTTTCTCTCAGAAATATCGCCTCAATCTGGTTCGGAAATAAATGCGAAATTTTCGCTAAATAAGAAATGCAAAAATTTCGCGAAAAAAATAATGCAAATATTCCGCGAAAAAAGTACGGAATTTATTCTTTTTAAAAAAATTCAAAAAATGCGAAATTTTCTGGAGCTATTTCAAGATTTAGATTTATCTGGAGCTATTTTTATCCTAAACAAGACCAGTTCAAGTTTAAAATCTGGAGCTTTTTTAATCCTAATTAAGATGAAGCATAAATGTCTGGAGCTATTTTCAATTTATCCTAAACAAGATCAGGCTTTTATAATATCCTATTTTCACCCTATTCAATATTAAGCTCAAATATTTGGAGCTATTTTAATCCTAAACAAGATTTCGCTTAAATATCTGGAGCTATTTTCATTCTAAACCAGTTTAAATTTAAATATTTGGAGCTATTTTAATCATAAAGAAGATTAAGATTAAACATCATGCGGCTATTTTCACCCTAAACAAGATCAAGCTTTTATAATACTTGGAGCTATTTTCAACTGAAACCAGATTAAGCTTTAACATCTGGAGCTATTTTCAACCTAAACCAGATTAAGCTTTAACATCTGGAGCTATTTTCGACCTAAACCAGATTAAGCTTTAACATCTGGAGCTATTTTCATCCGAAACAACATGGAGCTTAAACATTTGGAGCTTTTTTTTTATCCTAAAGAATAATTAGCTTTGTTTATTTTATCAATCTGAATTCATATTTTAAAATATCTAAAATATACTACTACATTGGGTTGAAAAGATATAGGAATCAGAAAATGAGAGTTTGTGACAAAAATTAATTCCTTTATTGACTGCCAGGATTGATGTGCGGGGGGAGTGATTGATAAACCAACCTTCTGTTTGAAGGACGGACATTGATATCTCTGTTCTCTTGAACCCCTCCTCCTCCTCCAACTCCTCTCAGATGGGGAGGAACATAGGAGCTCTTCACGTCGTCTTTACTCTAAAATATCATATTTTTATGCTTATAGTTAACTATATCATAAATTGAAACTTTTATAAAAAATAAAGTTGCAATGAGTCATAAAGAGAAGACAAAAGCCTCAGTATTCCAATTGTTGTCTCTGAATATGCTTAATTTTAACCAACATTTTAATCATTTTTAAATTGGCTTCAATTGTTCTTTTTCTAGGACATTATTTACATATTTAGTTAGAATTAAATATTGCATCAAGTTCATCAAATAATAGTTATTATTTTAAGATATATTAGGAACCTGTAGGTTTTTTTAACAAAGGCTAATTTTGGGAATATATAAAACAGTGTAACCACGGTAATGTTTTACAGGCCGTCTTGGCCTATGGCTATAGGAAACCCCAGATAAGTAATTCAGTTTTATCGAAATGAAAGTTAATGAAAATCTTTTTTGGTTTGAGGAATCTATTTTTTATCCCACGGGTAGAGACTATAATTTAACACTGCTTGCACCCCACCACAATAATTAATTAGTGTTTTCCCAAAAGAGATAAAGACTAAACCTGGACGATGTTGTCCTTTTTGTCTTCGTTTTCTGATTCTTCATCTTCATGCTCTTCGTCTTCGTCCTCTTTACTCTCCCCGTCCTCGTCCTCATTCTTCTCATCCTCTACAGCCTCCTCGGGTTCCTAGTGCACATCAATTGTTTCGAAGTAAAATATATGAATACTAGAAATTCAAGGCGCTTCGCGCCCTTCTTTCTAGGCTTTTAGGGCGCTTCGCGCCCATCTTCTATTTAAATTAGGAACATGTTCGAATTGTTTACATTTCAAAACAAAGATAAAAAAGTTTTGCGGATTTTAAAAAAAAAAATTTGCGGATTTTCAAAAATTTAAATCTTTTTACAAAATTAAAAACCTCTTAAACACAAATTTTTAAAATTTCAATCATTCATAAACCTTCCCTGGGGTCCCTAGATGTCACACAAAAAATTTGGGCCCGATCGGTTCAGCCGTTTTGACGTTTATTGGATACAAACAAACAAACAAACAGACAGACAGACAAGCCAAATTTATATATAGATTGTAGAGGAAGACATCCCCGAGCGAGGATTATGAAATCCGCAAATTAGTAGCATTGGATTCTGGACCCAGAGAAGACCTACTCATCTTCCTCTCCTTTCATACACTCTTTATTTATCCTAGATTTACATCTAGAAGCAATAAATGTACTTCTAAAGTGGTGACCCCAGACAACAAACGAACCATGGCCGAAAATCTGGTCGGAAAGCTAAACAATTGGACGAGGATAACAATCTCAAGCTTAAACCTTTTATCCACAAATTCACTATTCCTTCATCCTACAATCAGCTACTTAGGGGGGACTTCTGTAGAGGAAGAAATCCCCGAACGAGGATTATGAAATCCGCAAATCAGTAGCGTTGGATCCTGGAACCAGAGAAGACAGCTACTCATCTTCCCCTCCTTTTATACACTCGTTATTTATCATGTATTTACATCTAGAAGCAATAAATGTATTTCTAAGATATATAAAAAACAGTTAAATAAAACCTTTTTTTGAAAACTAGATAAAAATCTAAAATTTACAAAAAAACATAAATAAATTATGTCAATTGTGCTCTTTGGAGAAGAGAACAAGAAGAGACGCAAAAAAGCCATGTTTTCTCATTAAAGGGATGTAAATTTCTGGCCATATGCACATAGAGGGCATATTCAATTCACAAAAGTACTCTTTGTATGAAATAGATATCCATGTTTTGTATGAACCAAGTTCATTAATGCGTAGATGAAGCAGGAACCGAGTTTAAACCAGGAAGATTATCTGAATTGTACTTAAAGAAGGAGTTGGAGAATATACTTCAGTCCCGCATACCATCTAGCGGGGTTCACATACACTTTATATTTGGCAATGTTTTTATCAATTGGAATAAAATATACAATTATAATAGTATCTTTAGTTGTGCTAGTTGGCTAGTTATGCATTTAGGTACCTTCCCACCTACCAGACTTTTGTCCGGTATAGTTTCTGTTTTTTAAAACTGATTGTTTTCATTTGTGGGTTCTCTACAAAAGTGAAGTGAGCCTATCTTGTTCCTGAAGCAATCGAGAAATTATATCGAACTAAAACTTCTCAAGGTTCAAAAACGATTTATATCTACTACAATATTAATCAGATTAGGATTTCAAGGGTACTATTGTAAGTCTTCTCTCCTTACATAATACATTGTCAATTCATTATATTTAATTATAACTCATCGCATTTTTTTTTAGTTTTGCAAACACTCCCTTTAAATCCAAAACCGTTAGAAGTTATTTTTAACTTTCTACCTCTGTATCAATTGAATCCACTAGTCTGACGGATTCTATTTTTAGAACAGAATAATCTTTTAGTTTCTCCCTGTACTCTCCCCACTCTTCTTCATCCTCATCCTCCTTTATTCATTCATCATTGATCATTCATCATTGATCAATCATGATTCATGATTCATGATTCATGATTCATGATTCATGATTCATGATTCATGATTCATGATTCATGATTCATGATCCATGATTCATGATTCATTATTCATCGTTCATCATTCATCATTCATCATTTATCATTCATCGTACACTATCAGTCATCATTCATCATTCATCATTCATCATTCATCATTCATTATTCATCATTCATTATTCATTATTCATTATTCATCATTCATCATACACTATCATTCATCATTCATCATTCATCATTCATCATTCATCATTCATCATTCATTATCCATCATTCATTATTCATCATACATTATTCATCATCAATTTCATCATTCATCATTTATTATTCACTTGTCCATGCCGGGCTTTTCAAATCTAATTAAATTTTGATTTGATTAGAATTTGATGAAATGTATTCCTTGTTATTTTTGTTCATGATTTCTTCTTTGTTTAATGGATCTGCGTTATAATCATCTTTCTCCTGCTGTTTTTGTTCCTTTCTCTCCACTTCCTAAATATAACAGGGTATTAAGAGACTTTAAAGGGACTGTGTGCGTAATATACATTTCCCTTCATGAAACTATGGCAATGCAGGATTTTCATCGGACCCTTAAACGCTTTGTCTGATTGAGTATGAATTGTATATCTTTTACAAGCTGTTTTATGCATATGTACTGCTGGAAAACATATAAGAATAATGCTTTTAGAAAATACTTTTAAATTAGATAAATGTTTCAAGGGTACCGTTGTGAATTGGGCATTGTCATCTTCGCATAGAGGGTCAATTGAAATCATACGCTTACAGTCCCTTTAAAAATGTTAAAAAATGCCAGACAAATCCATCCTTTCTGTTAAAATGATTATGGTTTGGCGAACATAAAAAAGCGTAAAATGTATTATATTTTTTACAAATCTTTAAAAAAAACTTTGTAATTTTTTTTTTTAAATCATCTGAATACGCAGAGAGCGTCGTTGTTTTATTTAACAAAAAAAATAATCAAACGTTTTTTGAAAACTTTTGTGAATTAAATGGATATGTTAAGCGTTATTATTTACTAAGAAAACTATGTGAATATTTAATGATATTCTTTAAAACAAGAATTCTAAAACAAAATTGAATCTATGTTTATTTTAATAAAAAAAATATGAGATTTACACTAACCTCTAAGTTTTTGGCTATGACGTCTGTATTAGCTTTCGAAAATCCCTAAAAAAGCATATATCTATATATATATATACATATATTTATTTTTATTGGATAATGAGATGTCAAACCATTTTCATGATATATTAATATGCAGATGTCACCATGTAGACCAAGAATGTAATGCAAGGAAAGTCAGGCTTCGACATCCTTCTTGTGTTTACATTACCGCCCAGTGATACACTGCAGTACAAAAGATACATACACCTCTGAAATAACTTTCCTTGCATTAAATCTTTGATATAGACGAACATGTGTGGTTGATATAGATGCAATTAGTAATATAACAAAAACGCTGAAAAAAGATATCAAGCCTAGAATGTCATCGTTCCTTGCAATACTGTTTTTCCAAATGTAATAAATGTTATAATCTGTATTATGTGTTTAATTAATGTCAAATTTCGTAGCCTTACGATTTGGTTAGATTTTTACCTTTGATCCCTTCTTTTTCTTGTCTTTTTTTGCAAAAAAGGTGTCTATGTCCCCCATTTTTAAACCTATTTATTCTCTTTAACATACAAACTGAAAAAGTGAAAAAATATTATAAAACATTATTTATAACGTCCATTTAAAATAAAATAGATAATATATATAAAAATAATTAAATATTGGTGTTTTATTTAGAAACATGTACAGGGTTACCCACAAAGGATGAGACTTCAAAGACGATTGTACGAAATTTGTTTAGTCCAGTTTTTTGCATTTAGGGTTCCTTGAAGGCCAAAACTGGCATATTTTTGTGCTTTATCATTACTTAAACTATAAAAATACTCAATTGAATGCAGAAACCAAAAATCAAGCTTTAAATCGTCATATTTGTTGATTTTGGGTCGTCTTTACCTTCTCATTCTTTGTGTGTAACCCTGAAGTTTTGAACTAAAAAGTTTATTTGTTCGCTGAACCCTTAAAAGTCTTTTTATTCGTTTTTAAAATTTATTTATCATTGATAATGTCTAAACTAGAAAAAGCGTTCATCACAATTAAATAGAAACTTTGTATAAAACTTTTTAAATTATTAAAGAATTAACTGAAATATTATAATTTTCTATCACTGATAGAGCAAAGCACTGTCACGAACAGATGTTTGAATTTAACCTGTTGATTTCAGATTCTAGAAACATACATACACATACTGACAACATCACAACACCATCATATATCAACAAACTTAATAGTAGAAAGCATATTGGGAAGTGACTTGACTATAGTAGAATATATACTAGGCTGGTTCTCCTCATAATGAATGACTGGTTTGAGTTTAAAAGAACTGTCTCTATAAGAATGAATGGTGTGTGGAGGTGGCAGAATAACTTTAACATGCGCAGTTCAAGGCTTTCTCTTATCTTCTACTGCCAGCCTCTTTTGTATATCTAGCTATCTATCTATCCTAGAGTTTGCTTTTATACTTTTATACATATATATACATATATATATAATATATATTTCTTCATCTTGCCTACGTCATCTGGTCTTTGACGTCATAAAAGGCTAAAAATAGCAATTTTGTGGGTTTTGTCTGTTTTTGCATTTTTGTTTATAAATAACACATAAATTTTATCTTTCATCTAATTTGATTTTCTACCAATTGCATTTATTTTGGCATTGGTTTGAATGTTGAATATAAAGAAATTTTAAATTGAAAATTAAGCATTGATTTAAACACTTATTTACTCAAATTTGGAAACAAGGAATTACGCCTAATTGCAAAAATTTTAAGTTGTATGAAAGAACTGCCAACTGTATCTTATCTACTTTGTACCGCAAATACTTCTTTGTAAAATCAAAATTAAAAACAGTATTGGGAGAATACTGTAATTTTGAAAATAATCATTTAATAATTACAATCCCCCTTTTTTAAGAAAAAAATGTAAATTTTTTGTTTCTAAAATTTGACTATTTTTGCAGAAGAAAAATTTAATATCCCAGATGCCCATCTAACCTTTGCAAAAATGAAAAAAAATTTACCATATAAAACTTACAAAACATCATAAACAAATTAAATATTGAATATCGTAAGTTTTTAAGTGGTTTAGAATTAACTGAGTTTTGCCTATATGCTTATATATGTAAAACGACTTTTGTTTCTTGTTTTCAGCGAACACTTTACAATATATAAATAAAAATTCTGAATAAAATTGTGACCGGAACTAATTTCTTTTAGCCACCAAATTGTGTATTATAAAAACAGGATTCAGATATTAACAGAGTATTTTATTTTGTTTTTGTTGGGCTGCACTGCACTGCTTGAAAATTGTTAATATAATTTTCTCTTGAAATAAACATCGGATCAACAATGTGCTCCATGATCTATTTCTTATGTATAAATTATCAATTAAGTATTTTCTGAAATATATATTTGTAATCCATGTTTTGATTAGTTTAAGAACCAAATGTTAAGATTAAGTAAAAACACGAAAAAGAAATTCTTGTCTTGGAAGACGATATTCATACCGGTCTGATCTTATTTTCATTTTTAATATTATTAGAAATCAATTAATAAAAATATTTGTGTTATAAACAGGGGCGTACGAGGGGGTGGGCCGCGCCCCCCCGCCCCCCTCNTTTGGTTAAAATGTAGAATTTCAGAAGAAATTTCGTTTATTCGTAAAAGTATAATTTTTAATGATGCTGTGATTATTGATTTAGTTAGCTGTGATGGAGTTAAGTGATAAATTTATAAAGTCAAAAAGTTAGTTTTTCAAGCAAAGGAATAATTTTTAGACTCTAAGGTTAGTAACACCCAAAAAAGTAGTCTTTTTGGTGTATTTTTATGGTGAACAAAATAAGTCCAGGTGGGAGAGGGGGGGAAAAAAAATTTAAAAAAGGTATTAATATTTTTTCAAAAAAGGGGTTTTTAAGGGGGGGGACCAATGTTGCCAAGGGGGGGACCAATTGTGCCCACCCCTAAACAAAAGCCCTCGTACGCCCCTGGTTATAAAGTAAATAATACAGGGTTACCTTAAAAAAATAAGAGTTTAATGAGTTCATTATTAATGACGACCTGAAAAAATATGTTAATCATGAGGGTTTAAGGTATTTTGCCTCAAGGTTATAATGCAAGGAAAGTTATTTCAGAGGTGTGCGCATCTTTTGTAGTGCAGTGTACTGTCTCTGGGCGGTAATGTGAACACAAGACGAATGTCACAGCCTGACGTGGGATCCATCTTTCACTTAATCACAAATTAATGAAATATTCTGGTCAAAGGAAACTATTATGTGGTTCATCAATATTATCAAAACTAATGCTTTTATCCTCCACTAAACAAACACAGATGCATCTAAACTTGTTTACAAATTCCGCCCAGAGAGAGCTGGTTTCAATATGTACGCAGAGTATACGCAACTGCAATTAACTTTAGTTACATTATAACTATGATCTGCCTAAAATATTGTATTTTTATGTTAATGATGTAAACAAAGATTATTTGCAAACAATCGTCTAGTTAAATGGAACTACAGTGAGAACCAGAAAACTGTGAAATAAGAAGACGACATTAGCAATAATTAAGTGTATAAATTATTGGCCAATTTCTTATTCATTTAACCATAGGTACAAATATAGGTCGTATCTATCTATCTACACTGCTCTGGTAAAGCGTAACCATAGTGTAACTACAGTTTTACCTATGGTAGAGCGTCTAAGAAATTGGCCATCTATGTTGTTTCAAAGCAGATAGTTAAGCTAGTAAATTATTAAATCACTTATTCAGCTTGAAATGCAATACGTTTTCACTACACAATTGTTGTCTCATGTTTATTTGACTATTTAAAGTCATATTTGTCTAAAAGTCGTAGCTTCCTTTTCCAAAGTTTTCTGGTTCTATCTGTATATATTTAAGAATATCTAGGCTTCGCGCTCTTCTTCTATTTCAACTTTCAATTGTGGCTTTACCTGCGAGTATCTTCTCTTTATACAGTATGAAACAAAGACAAAAAAAGTTTGCGGATTTCATAATTTTTTTTTCGCGCATTTAAAAAATTTAATAAAAATAAAAAAAACGTTTAAACACAATTTTTTTAAATTTTAATCATTTATAAACCTTCCCTGGGGTTAAGTGAGGACCAACACAAAATTTGGGCCCGATCGGTTCAGCCGTTTTGGCGTTTATTGGATACAAAATCAATCACAGCGGTTTGTATTTATTGTTTTTTTCCCTTGAACATCAAAATTGTAACTGTTCGTTTATGTTTTTCTGTTGATTTCCGATTATTTCATTTTCAATCAGGGGAACACTAGAGCTAATACTTAAAAAAAAATGATATAAAAATCATATAAAAAATACTTTATCATGTTCATTTTCAATTGTAATTTTTTGAACTTAATAAATGATATGTTTTTTAAATTGTTTGGGTATACTGTCCAAAATAAACTTTTAACAAAGTATAGTGAATAAGTTCTTCTTTATACCATTATTTTTTCCATATTCACTTCACACGTGTTTATAAATAAGATTAGTTAAGTTATAGTTATTGTTCAAAATATCAAACAAAAGTACCCTATACTGCCATAGAGAGCTGAACTTTTTCTTCGTTTGCTAAGAATTTTAAGCCACGTACTTCATGTATACAATATCTTGTACTGCATGTAAACTTCCAAAATAAACCGCCTTTTTAAATCAGAGATCCTTACAAAGAAGTTTACTTTTGACTGGCGGAAATACAGTGTAAGTATATTATACATGGATATACCATATATGGATAAACCTTCGGAAACAAATTTAAACATTTTCTTTAATTTATTTTATTCTTTCAAAGTTTTATTATTTTTCCTATTAAACTATATTTGATGTAAAAGGTCGTATCATCCTTAAGAAAATAATATATAGTCTACTATACGTCATTTGTGGGTAAGCCTGTGTATAAGAATAAAATATTCTTTTTTTTAAATCGTGGGTTTAACATTTACCTTACTTAAATACTATCCTATAATCGATCCTATAATAATAAAATGACATAACATCCCAGGAATCAGGGTTGGAAATTATTTAAAAAAAGGGCTGTAATAAATTCTGTAGCTGTTGTATATAGTTCACCGATCTTTATTATCTATGTTTGATTGACCCTGACCGGCCAGCCCGGTCAACCATATTTACCTGTATAAATAAATTAGTATCGAATCAACCGTTGTTTTAGACAGACGGGTATAGCCAGGATTGGCTGAGAGATAGAGTCAGGATTGACTGAACAATTAGAGTTAGAGACAAGTATTGAGATTTACTCTCGGGACCTAGATTGTTACAGGGCAATACAATCATTTTCAAATGTTTTACTAAAAGTTTTACCTGGAGGCACCTCGATCACTTTCTCTAGACGTTTTTCGGGACAACTTTTCTGAAATTGTCTGGGATGTCGTGTCCAGGAGTTTGTAAATAATTGTTAAGAATCAACTATTGCGAAGAACCCCCTGTGTGCTATAAACTGCAGGGTGTGTAATGAATACATGAAAGAATGTGAAGTTTGCTATCTATGGATTGCGGATGTTATGTACCTCAGACATACAGGGTGTCAGTAAATTAAGGTGTTCTTTGCAAAAAATATTGTATTTTCTTTTATAAAAGTAACAACATATTTCGTTTATTAAATAACAAAACTTCAATAAATTTTATGCTGTATGAAATAAATTTTTTTAGTAAAGCTTTGAAAATTGTGACACCAGGTAATACATCTGTGTATATTTTATTTACTTTTATATAAGGATAATTATGTAAGGAAGGTAGGGTTGAATATAAGATGGATAATTTACCCTCCCCCCTTCCTTGTCCCCCTTAAGCTTATTTTTAAACTTAAACATTTATTTTCATTATTACATATAACAATAAGATAGAAGAGAGCTGACAAGATAGAAGAAAGCTGAAAATTTAGAGACCTGACAAGATATAAGAGAGCTGACAAGATAGAAGAGAGCTGACAAGATGGAAGAGAGCTGACAAGAAAAAGAGTGCTGACAAGATAGAAGAGAGCTGATAAGATATAAGAGAGCTGCCAAGATATGAGAAAGCTGATAAGATAGAAGAGAGCTGACAAGATAGTGAGGGCTTACAAGGTAGAAGACATCTGACAATTTAGAGAGCTTACAAGATAGATGAGAGCTGACTATATAGAAGAGAGATGACAAAATAGAAAAAATTTGAAAAGATAGAAGAGACCTGACAAGATACAAGAGAGCTGACAATATAGTTAAGAGCTGACAAGATAGAAAAGAGCTGACAAGATAGAAAAGAGTTGACAAAATAGAAAAAAGCTGTCAGGATAGAAAACTGTTGAAAATGGCGTAAGGATCAAGTCTTTCAAATCAAAAAAGATGAAGTTTGTTCATAAAAGAGTATAATATTTGTGTCTAAATTTTGCTTACATCCCCCGCACGCTTTCTCTCTTTGCTTATATGTTTACTTTATTCACTGTTTATTCATCTTTCACCTGGCACCAAACACGCAAATCAGGGAATATTGCGAAAATTTACCTAAAAACTAAAAAAAACTAGTAAAATAGAAAAAAAAATCGTAAAAGTGTAAGTAGAAATTACAAATTCAGACATAATTATATTATGCTTTACTTCCGAAATGTACGGTTCATAAATAAAAAAATTAACATAGACAGAGAGAATAGTTTTGAAGGTTCTTCTTCTGAATGGTTTATTAAACAAACAGAAAATTATAAATTTATAAAATTAAAAAGTGGCTTGTTCACCCTCTATATTTTCAGATAAGATAACAACAAACGTGATTATTAGATATTCCATGAAAGAAGAACGAGAGATCAAACTTTTAAGAAATCAGCAAAAATTATGGACTTATGAATTTACAAAGTGGCTTGGTCGCCCTATATATTTTTAGCTAACATAACGAACTTGATGATTAGATATCCAATGAAAGAAAACGAGAGAAAAAACTTTAAGAAATCAGCAAAAATTATGGATAAGGGCATAAATGCATAAATCCTTGGAGCTAAAATGCATATCGAATATTAATCTCTTAGTTTTAAGGTAATTGTTCGTTTACAAAAAATTGAAATTGAAACAGTGAAAATACTACATTGGAAAATAATATTATACATGGAAACCGAGTCTTTTCTGTCTAGTAATTGGCTTATCTAAGAAATGTCTCACTAACATAATGTCATATACTTAAAAAATCCCATATATGTACATAAATGTTTCTTTATGAAAATTCCTTTTCTATAATTTTGTTATCTATGGGATGTTTGTCTATTTATAATTGTGTTCTCTATGGAACGTTCTTTTTTATGAAACTAGGCTTTTCGGGCGCTTTGCACCCATCTTCTATTTCAGTTGTGAACATTTTCTCTTTGCATAACATTGAAAAACAAAAACAAACCAAAAAAGTTGTGAATTTTATCAAAAAAATTCGTGGATTTTGAAAATTTATTGGAAATCAAATTTTGTTGGAGGCAAATTTTTGAAATTTTAATTATTTATAAACCTTCCCTGGGAACAAGTCCTACAAAAAATTGGGGCCCGATCGGTTCAGCCGTTTATGCGTTGTATGGATACAAACAAATAGACAGACAAGCAAAGTTTATATATAGATGTCCTATTTATAAAATGTCCCATTTATGAAATGTCATTTCTGTGAAATGTATACATCTTTGATTTTGTTATCTAAAAATTGTTTCTGTATTAAAATGTCCTATCTATAATTTTGTTTTCTATGAAATGTTTCTTCAATTAAATGTCCTATCTATAATTTTGTTATCTATGGAATGTTTCTTTATGAAATGTCCTATCTATAATTTTGTTTTCTATGGAATGTTTCTATATTAAATGTCCTATCTATAATTTATTTTTCTATGAAATGTTTCTTTATTAAATGTTTTATCTATAATTTTGTTATCTATGGAATTTTTCTTTATTAAATGTCCTATCTATAATTTTGCCATCTATGAAAGGAATTGAGTCTTTGCCAAAAACTCCGATTTTTTCATCCCTATATCTTTAGAACCCTATGTCATAGACCTTAGATATTTCTAACTATGAATTGTGTTAGTTCAAGTGATCTAAGTTTGAAATATAAAAGGTTTACACCATTAGGTTGGCAAGATGTAGGCATTAGAAAGTTTGAGTTTGTGACAAAAACTCAATTCCTTTGTAACTTAAAATGGTTGACTTATATTAGTTTACTAGGCTATCTTCTATTTCAATTGTGAACATGTTCTCATTAAACTATTGAAAAACAAATAAAAAAAAATTCGTGGATTTTATAAAAAACTAGCCTTATAGGGCGCTTTGCGCCCATCTTCTAAATTAATTGTTAACATGTTCTCTTTGTGTACATCGTAAAACAAAACAAAAATAATTCGCGGATTTTCACAAAAAAATTCGTGGATTTTCAATATTTTCAAAAAGATCGAATTTTGATGGAGACAAGTGATTATCAAGATAACTTTTGTACAGAGCATAGTAAAACCAATGGAGTAAATGCATTTCTACATCATGTAAAGGAGTATAAGAGGAGTGTGTGTGGTACCGCGGAGGAGTGTTATTCTCCAGTTCGTGAAACCAACATAGCCCAAGAGAAGGATCAAGGAGATAGTTCAGGGAGTGCAGATGGGTATATGGAGGAGTGTAATTCTCCAGGCCATGAACCTATTGTAGCCCTGGATGAAGGACATGGAGTATTCAAAGCAAGGATACCCATAGCAAGATTTAGGAATGCAGTGGATGATGAAGACTCCGGTGACGTAGGAGGATTCAGATGTACGGAGTGTTCCAAATGTTTGACATGTAAAACATCCAGCAAGAGGACTGCAATATCTTTGAGAGAAGCGAGGGAACAGCGGCTCATAGAAGATAGTGTTGGGATTGATATTTTCCAGAAGAGAGTTACTGTAAATTATCCATTCTTGAAGGATCCAGTGGTTTTCTTATCAACGGCTCACAAAGGTTCAAGTAACTACTCTCAAGCGTTGAAAGTTTATAAAACACAATGCAGGAAATCGGAGCAGGTCAAGGACGGGATGAGGATTGTCCATGAAGATCTTGTGGAGAAGGGGTTTATGGTGAGAATAGACGACCTCGAAGAATGCAAGAAGACGATGATATTAGATGCTCCTTTTAAACATTTCAATCCATGGAGGCTGGTGATGAAGATGGATTCGGTGACTACTCCAATCCGAATGGTAGTGGATCCATCAATGACTAGGTTTAATGAGATATTAGCAAAGGGAGAAAACAGGATTGGATTGATTTTTAATATTATGATCAGATGCAGATGCTCAGAGTATATTTGGAGTTCTGATATCAGTAAATTATACAATCAACTATACCTGGATGATGCTTCATTACCTTATTCTTTGTTCTTATACGGGAAGGATTTGGATCAAGAGAAAGAGCCAGAGATATGGGTGATGGTCAGAGCCTGGTACGGTATTGTGAGCACCGGGGGCCAGGCGGGGTTCGCTCTGGATAAATTGGCGGAGATGTTTGGAGAAAGATATCCAAGTGCTTATAAAACCCTGAGAGAAAACAGATATGTGGATGACATATTATCAGGAGAAGATTCAAAGGAGAAAAGAGAAGAACAGATTGAAGCAGTACAGGAGATTCTGAAGAGAGGGGGTTTTTCGTTGAAATTCATCGTGAAAAGTGGAGAAAAACCATCGGAGAAAGCAAGTACAGACGGAGAAACTATGAAATTATTGGGTTATAAGTGGGACCCTGAGAAGGATGAACTATCACCTGGTCTTGGAGAACTAAACCTAAACAAGAAACTACGTGGAGAACGCAAACCTAATGAGAAACCAGTGAAAACCATCCAGGATGCAGAGAAACTATTAACAAGTACGAAGCTGACCAGGAGTCTGATAGTAGGAAAGATTTCAGAACTGTATGATCCATGCGGGTTTTTTGAACCTGTAAAACTACAGATGAAACTGAAAACAAGTTCTCTGAATGGGAAGGAATGGGACGAAGTGCTACCTGAGCAGGATCAAGAGACCTGGAGACAAATCCTCAAGGAGTATGTAAACCTTCCGAGTATAGTAATACCGAGATTCTGCCTACCAAGTAAGAATGTGTCAAAGTCAAAAATAAGATTAATTTGTCTAGCGGATGCGGCGGAATTTGCAGGGGGGGCGGCAATCTATGCAGGGAGGGAAACCAGCCCTGGCAGATGGTCGTGCTCCCTCCTAGCCGCGAAATCCAAGATGATGAAGGAGACAATACCAAGGAATGAATTATCTGCTATACTACTGTGTGCAGAATTGGCATTTATGGTGAAATCTGCTCTAGGTTCAGAAGTAGGAGAGATAATTTATGTAACTGATTCAACTATTGCACTGAGCTGGTGCAGCAGTGAATCTATCAAGCTGAGGTTATTTGTGTACAACAGAGTGATGACAATTCTGAGGTTGTTTGAATGGACGGCAGGTTCCAAAGATAATGTGTTGTATCATATAGATAGTTCATTAAATCAAGCAGATCTCCTGACAAAGGAGCACGAGGTTGGAGTAAGTACAGTATCAAGGGGTTCTGAATGGATAGAGGGGATGCATTGGATGACACTAGATAAGAGAGAGATGCCTTTAACTTCATACAATAGTTTAAGCCTGGATAAGAGGATGAAGGAGAAGGTTCAGATTGAGTGTTTTCCAGAGTCATTCTTGAAGGATCTATCACTAAACTCACAAGAGACGAAGGATGATACAGATGAACCACCAACAGTAGATCATGCTTTTTCTGTTCTTGCGGCCAAAGGGGGTAGGGGTGTAGCCGAGCTACTAGTTGACCCTGTATACCACGGATGGATGAAAGCCTTGAGATTGACAGGATATATGCAAGGATGGAGGACCAAGTTCTGTCATAACCGTCATCTCATACCGGATCAAGACTGCAGAATCTGCAAATTAGGTGAACATAGATGGGATCCAAGAAATGAAACAGAGAAAGCAGAGAAGTATTTTTTCCAGTGGGAATCAGAAAGAGTGAAGAAGGTGTTGAAACCAACAGAGTTGAACAGGTTCAAAGAAGAAGAGGGGATAGTGTATGATGAAGGGAGATTATCTCCAGAATTCCAATTCAAGACACAAGATTTGGATAGAGTAGGTTACTTGGACAAGCAGCTGATTATAGGTAGGGTTCCTGTAGTTCTCCCTGATTCTCCGATATTGTATGCATACCTCATGTTTGTTCATACCAAGACAAGAAATCATGCATCATTAGAGGCAACAGTCAAGGAAATTTATATGAAAATGAGAGTAATGAAGGGGTTGAGATGGCTGATCAAGAGAGTGATTGCTGATTGTGTGAAATGCAGGCTGATAGAAAAGAAGACAATCATACCCTCAATGCTTTTTCCATGAGAATTAAAATGTTCTTTATTTACTAGACTGAAGCTGTTAATCCGTAATAAAGTTCAGACCCTTTTCCTGTGTATTTATTCAACATGAGGAGGATAGAGCAACGGAGTGCTTACGGTTCGATTCAAAGGACTTCAACTCGGTACTAATTTTATACAAACTAGGGCAACGTCAGTTGCGAAACACATAAACCTTCCCTGGGGTCCCTAGATGTCCCACAAAAAAATTGGGCCCGATCGGTTCAGCCGTTTTGACGTTTTTTGGATACAAACAAACAAACAAACAAAGAGACAAACAAACAGACATCAAGACAAGCCAAATTTATATAAAGATGGCGGATTTTCAAGATTTTAAATTTTTTTACAAAAATGAAAAACTTTTAAGCACAACATTTTTCATTTTTATCATGCATAAACCTTCCCTGGGGACACGCGTGATCCCACAAAAAAATTGGTTCCGATCGGTTCAACCGTTTTGACGCTTATGGGATACAAATAAACAGACATACAAACTAACAGACACCCAAGCTAAATCTATATATAGATAAAATAGTAAGCGCAACACAATCATTTGAATGTTTTATTTTTGTTTCGTTTTCCCAGAGAACTGAACAGGACATGTGTCGATATTTTGAAACAATATGTTTTATATTTTCATTATGCAAAAACATGTAAATGTAGTGCTTACTTTTATACAAAATTCAAAAATTGTATGTTTAACACAGTCGAATTTAGGACTTTTAGGATCAAAGAGGGGGGAGGGGGGGCTCCAGGGGGCGGGGAATAATAACAGAATTTATATTTGAATGATAGTAACATGAACAAAATTGTATTCTTGTAAATTTTCTACAAGATTTACAATACTAACAACAGTAATCTCAAATCTGAAATAAAAATCATTATGACGTATCAACCATCAACAGTTTTTGTTGTTATTTTGGTATAGGGACTGTAAATGGAATTGCGTAATTGTAATTGAACCTCCATTTATATCTAGAGAGCGGCATGTCCAATTACAATGGTAACATATACCTCATTATTTGAGTAAATATGAAAAATATGCTCTTTTCCGTCTGAAGATATATTTAGGTTTGGATTGTGGTTTTTCATCGTCACTTGCAAAATTATGAAATGTATACAATTATAGAAATATGAAATTGATAGAATTAAATTAGAGAAAAATCACGGAATCGTGGACTCGTGTTTGATTGGATAAGAGTGTAAAAGGTGGCAGTAAATCGGGCAAGCAAGTCCTTATTTTTTTTGGGGGGGGGGAGATGGAGGGTTTTTTTAAATGTATGTTTACTTCTCCCTACTATACGCTAGCCGCCATATTATATAGATCATTGGACGGTGGACATATGGATTCCCTATGATGATAACAGTTTAGCATGTTTAAATGTATAATTTTTAAAATAATGTAAAGTTTCTTGGGCCTCGAGCAAAAAATATTTGCATACTGCATTAATGCACTGCAACGAAGTATACCTTATTACCCATCTTGGCACAGGCAGGTTGGGTGATGGGTCCCCCCCCCCCCCCCATTCGGACCGTTAGCTTAGCATCCCCCTCCCTTGATCAGATAGATAATATGTGTGCAGATCAAACCGGTTTTTGAGCATCATCCGCAACAATGGAAGAAACTCCGCAATCTGTTGTTTTCATAGATGAATTAAAGATTTGTCACAGAACAATGGATAATCATATAAACATATTCAAATTACAAAATATTCGACAGATAAAAATATTTATTAAATTATGTTTTACCAGGACTGCCTGGGCCAGGCCTATACCGACACGGTATATCCGCGCTGGGCCTTGTACTGTCCAGGCATTCTTCGATCAGCTGAGTTTAAAATTCAAAATTATAAATTAAAACTGAAATAAAATACAATTTAATCAAGCAAGTGAGATATAATTTCTTAAAGCCTTGATTTACCTAAGTAAGAGTAGTATTATATATATTCCCCTGTCATGAGTGTCTATCTATCTATCAACCAATCTTGTATCTACGGAGTTTCGAGTTAGACAGCTTCTATCGTTCAGTCGGTGGGCAACCACTGTATTGAGAGAACTGGTGTGTGCACGTGATATCAGTGATATTTCTCCAGTTTATAATGAAAAACAAGATTAGTTAATATCTTTGCTGACAACAGAAATACTTCTCAAGGTTTACAGTTTAAGCAGTGATTTTGGTAGAAATTACTAGAAGATTTTTTGAAGGAAGTTTTATTCAATTTTTAGTTATTTTACCTTACAAAATTTTGTTAATTACTGTTTTTAGGACAGTCCTATATTATTACTTTTTTTGCAAAATATTATTTGTGCGTCAATGCTGTTTGCATATTTTCAATGACAAAACCGAAATGTTGTGCAATGATTTATTTACCAATCTATATTTATGGAGAACCATTTGCAAAATTTGGCAATTTTTCTTTTTTTTCGTATTTTTTATTTTTCTATTGCATTTGAAAGTAAGAAGGGGGGGGGGCGAGAAAAATATGTAAATATGTGTTTTTAAACAGAGCTTCAAAATATATAAGTGTTTATATGTGTTTATGTGACCTGTAGCTGGTAAAACACCAGTTACACTTTAAGAAGATTTAAAATTTGGATTTAAACACGGAGGTCGTCTTCAACCGAGATATTTTTGCACATTTTCCCCATCCAAACTTATCTTTTCAACAATTTTATTTTATTCAGGGCATATTGAAGAAAATAGGAATTATTTCACATGTTCTAATATTTTCTGTATAGATTAAATGTCAGTTACAAGATTAATATTTCAATTAGATCTTCAACATAATTACTTCAAAATCTACATATTTCTCTGAAAATTAATATATTCAGCGATGTTTTTTATATATTATAAATATATTATTTAATTTGAATATCAAACGAAGACCTAATAATTCGGGTTGCCAAAAAACTATTATTATTAATCTATATAATAAAGCTCTTCGCTTATTTGTATATATATGTTAGCTAGGGCTGGCTAAACGGCTGGACCGAACTGGCTGATGATTTTTTTAGTGAAATTTTATCTGTTTTATCCATATGTCTTTGCAACCCAAAGTTGTAGACCTTAGATATTTCCAACAATGAATTCTGGTAGATCAAATAGGTAAAGTTTAAAATATAAAAAGGTCTACACCATAAGGTTGCAAAAATATAGAGATTATAACTTTTGAGTTTGTGGCAAAGACTAACTTTTTTCTTCAAAATTCGAAAAAAAAAAATTTCGCGGGCAACGCCGGGTCCTCCAGCTAGTAGTAGATATTAATATTAATATCTACTACTAGCTGGAGGGCCGTATAATTTTTAAAAAAATAATTGATATTTAAAATATCTCATTTCATCATGTTAGGCCCTTTAATATGTCTTGACAACTTATGTCTTCTCTACAACCCTCAAGTTTAATCTGGGTTCCCAACGCATGCTTAACATCTCACTCATTCTACCCTCAACACCTTAATTCAGGGGTATATTTATGATATATATATGGTACGACTAGTATGACTTTGCGACCTCCTATATTTTCTAGTTTTGATTTAAAGCACTACACATAGTCTTAGGAGAGAAAATTTATTAAAAATTCAATTTTTTTAAAGATTTTAATCTCACGCATGCAAATTTACTTAGTTTGACGTGCTACACGGTACACCTCAGTTAAAAAAGTATTTTACTTTTCGATATAAAGGAAATTAAGAAAGGACCTGTTCTGTCTGTTCATATTAAATGTGTTCTGTGCATGTAAACATATTTTTTGTCACAGCTAAAAATCAGAATGAAGCCAATTTTTGTGTGGGACCTGGCACTGCTACATGATTAAACACTATGTCTTGTGTCTAAATGAAGAGGCCTAAAGATTCAGCAAAAAAAATGTTAAATAGTGAAGAATATTTTGAAACCAGTCAATTTCAGGAAAAATCAGATTTTCTTTGACAAATTGAATTTTGGTGAAGTTTGACCCGGAGTTTACAATGTGAAGAAAATATAAAGTTTTCCCAATCAAGCGTCTTAAATATGTTTTTTATATGGTTTGCTTTAAACTCCTCCTCTTGACAGGATAACTCTCACCCCCCGTTACCACCTTTTCTTGGACCCTACCCCCTTCACCCTAATGTCACCTCCCTTCACTAGTTCCTAACCGTGGGCCCACCCACACTATACACCCTGTTTAAGAATTCCTTATCTATTCATCCCTTCCACAGCGTGTCCCAGTAAACAATGTTTGTAATTTTTAATGTCTACTTTAAAAATGTTTAAAAATTATTAACAATTCTTAAAAGTTCCGAAAAGAAATTATACTAAGAAAAGTAATTCTACTTTGGCTTACATTTTTAATCAAGATATTTAAGATAAATGCGTGAAAGTAAGTTCAGTGTTAATAATAATTAATTCAGTTTATAAATTTCGATCACAAATGATACCGAGACTACCTTTACTATAATTTAAAACCAGAATACGCCCAATTTAACAGGAACGAGCAAGAACCTTCCAATCATTTAACAGGATTATCATGTTTAAATGGTTTTATAAGAAAAAAAATCGATTTTAATAAAATCAATCTTTTTACCTTCCTTCTATAGTTATCCATATTTTTGTTTGATGCCACATTTTGTAGCATTGAAAATTTGACCTTTCGTTTTTCAGTAATTATTTTCTCTTATTTTCTGTATTAATTTTAATAATTTAAAGCTTTTAGTTTCTTTAAAGGTTGTTTCTTCTATCTTTATACTTTGCTTAATTGTCTGTTTGTTTGTAACCGATGAACGTCAAAATGGCTGAACCCGGGCCCAAATTTTTTTTGGGACCTCACACGACCCCATGGAAGGTTTATGGACGCTCAGATTTACAAAGAGTTGTGTTCAAAACTTTTTGATTTTCGTAAAATTTTGAAATTCCATGCGAAAGAATATTATTAAATCAGCGAACTTTTTTTTGTTATTGTTTATATTCTACGTACAAAGAGTAGATGCTCACAGATAGATCAACAACTAAAAGTTGAAGAACTAGTAGATGGGCGCGAAGCCTAAAAGCCTGGTATCTAAATATTTAAACTTGATAAATAGATATATGATTGACAGTTTGTCGAATTTCATCTGTTTAACATATTATTGAATAGCTGATCAATTTATTC